GCAGCCGAGATCGAGCCCGAAGACCAGGTGAAGGTTGCCGCCGAGGTCAATCCAGCCGGCGCCGACCAGACCGAAACCAAGGCCGACGCCGCAGCCTACCCCCGCTCCTCCGCCGGCCTCTAAGACTAGTATTGGTTCATTGGGCTTCCGGCGATTGGCGTCGAAAATGTTGGGAGAGAGAATTTGTTTTGGTCCTTCCTCTGATAATTGTTTGAAATTCCTTTCCAGTTCCATGGCGATCTGGAATCGGCGTTCATGGTAAGAGACAAGATGAACAGAAGAAAGAGAGATGTTGGCTATTGCAATCGTAAAGTGGTTTTAAAAAAAGGGTGCTTTGTCGAGAGACTAGCCTCTAATACGTGTCAAGTTTTTAGACGTGTCGTTGACCATTCTTCGATTTTTTAAAACCACAACCATTTTAAAAAAAAGTTTCAAAAAACTACTATATTTTTAAAATAAATTTAATTTATAATAATATTATAAAAAAAACCCATAGAGAACTAGCAAAAACAATATTTACAGCCATAAATATAATTAGAACTTATCATCTAATTAATTGAATGAATTAATTTTACCATATATTTCAAATTAGATTTTAATTTGATGAAATAACAAGTTTAAGATTGAAGTTAATCCACATCATAAATAACCAGTAAGAGGACAATATAAAATTCTCACTAACTCTCAGTGCTAAAATTTTGACAGATAAAAAAGAGGACTCGAGAAGAATGATTAGAAGAGACTTTTCTTTTCAAACAAATATGTTGTATCAAAAAGTTGCCCAACTCAGCGAACTTAATTCGGCTCGAGCAGGATGAGCTGAATCGTGACCTCCAAAAACTGGACCTGCGAGATAGAGTGAGCACTCCGATGTTAAAGTCAGTAAAAGTCCGAGCTTATCGAGAGAGAATCAGAATGTTTGCGTACCTTTAAATGAGGGAAATGATCCTATTTATAGGCAGGACCTCCGACAACATTCCCGACACACAGCTTCAACAGCTCTTTAAGGTTACCGTGAAACGCGGCGAACTGTCGTGGAGTTTGTCGGAGGCGTGACCGAGCTAAGGAAAGCCAATTGAATCGCACTAAGAACGTAAGTCAAAGTGAACTTGTTCGGCTCGACCACTTAACGGGCTCGGCTCGACTAATTAGATGAGCCGAGGCATGAATACTCGGTCGTTATTTTTCGACCCACATAAGCCACGTGTAACAGTTTGCACATCTACTCAATACTTGCCACGTGTGTGCTTAAATCAACCCCCAACAAAATAAATACTTGCTCAATTTAGGTTGAAACTAATACAAGTCACTAAGTTTAGGGACATAAATATTGATTTTTTCACTAGTTTATAAATTAGTGGGTGTTTCATATGTCGAGATCAAACCTTCGACGGTAGAAAATGTAATCGATATCTGTTAGAGACATATGTCAATTGTCATTGAGCTAAATTCATGTTGGCAAATTGGCTGATTTTTTTGAAATATTTCTAGACATAAAACTATTTTTAAAAAATATTCTAAACTCCAAATTAATTTTAAAAATAATGTTGTTTTAAATTTCCGTCAATTTATGGTGACATGTGCTCCCTTAACACAAGGGAAAAAAAGAAAAGGGGGGCCAAATTTTCTTCTATAGATTTTATGGACTAATTTGGGAGATTTCCGAGTGGGAATTTTCGAATGGGAAGATTTTTGTCCCCAAATCGCAAATCCCACAAATAAAATCTGTAATGGACAGTTCTTTCTTTCTTTTTGTTTTTTAGAAAAATAGACTGAATTTTTTTTTTTAATGGGATAATGTAAATGGACTTTTCTTTTCTCTCTCTTTTTCTTTTAATTGATGGGTTGGGAGTTGGTCCCATTACAGCATAATTTGTTTAAAGGCGCAAGAATATAGTAGAGCACTTTAAATTATGAGGTTTATACCAGAAATTTAATGCTGGTGTCCAATGAAAATGCCAACTTCATCTCCAATAACCAACAACACAACCATTCAAATTATCTTCAATCGACAATGTCCATTGTCCCACCACCACACCATGCCAATTATCCTCAATAATGCCAAATTAATATTCCTTTTTACGGAGAAAGGTATAGTATTATTTTCATATCATTAACGATCTCATGAATAAAAAAATAAAAATAATAAAAAAGATCATGAGTACTTTTTTTTCTTTTAAATTCAACAAGGATAGAGATTCAAACCTCAAACTTGTTACTCGAAGTTTTATATATATTTTGTTCAGTTGAGCCGATTTATTTTTATTTTTGTAATTTATAATATTAAAAATGAAAGAATATGATATATTAATTCTTCCATTTAACTTTTTTTTAAAATTTTTTGTTTGCATGAGTAATCTGGTCTTTACATTTTTATAAGTCAAGTGAGATTAATTTTTTTTTTTTTTTTACAATGTATTTTATTTGAATCTGAATCTCAAGAAAATGAGTAGATATCAGCTATTATATATACTCATGTTGACAAATATAATGGTTAAGGGCATGTTTGGTAGAAAATTTGGATCCTATTTCTTGTTTTTAGATTCACTGAATCAATTTAATTCAATGGATATATGATTTGGCAGTATTGCATGGTCTGATCCCATTTGTGTTGTAATATTACAGTGTTTGTACCGAATTAGTTCATCTTGTCTTGTTTCGTTAATGCTTTCTGCAGGGCTGAGATCTTAATGGAAATTGTATTTGGACTGAAGCAGTTTATCAAAAACAATTCTTGTAATTAGGTCCTTGTTTAGTTTCCATTGTTCTTCCTAGTATTGATTTCATTTATGTCGAGCATTTTTTTGCTTCTTTATTAGTGAGCTATTGTTTTTGTTCAGGTGGTGTGTCAATTCTGATGGCTCCTTTTGAGTTGTTCTATCTGACTTATTGAGGGTAGAACAACTTCATGCTCTAGCTTGAATGCTTGCTGTTGTGAATTTGAAGAATACCTGTCACTTGATTTTTTTAGAAAAGTAAAATCATTAGAAAAGATCTCAGTTTTTGAGAGTTTGAATCAACTATACTAATTTTCTATTGAACTTAAAACCACTGATAGTTTATTCCCTGTTAAACGAACTACTGACTTTCTATTAAACTTTAAATCATAGATACTGGTCTAAGTGAACTTATGAATTAGGTAAAGCATGTCCCAAAGTTTGCTGTAGAATTCAAGGTGCATGTTAGATTATGGATTAAAAAATTAGTAACTTTTGGAATTTTTCTTGTTCCAGCCATAACGAGTAACTTCATCTCTCTTCAAGCCTATCGAAAAAAGGAAGAAAAAAAACTTTCTCCTCTTTCAAGTGTCATGATCTCTCATCCGATTCCCGGAGTTATGTTGTGTTAATATGAACGGTTTAATTGTGTTTGAAAGTAAACACATTAAACAGGCTAATTCAGACAACAATTTGAGAATTTATTTTCAACTCTGACAAAGTACATGACAAATTAATGTGTAATACATATTAATTTACCTTATTACATCAGAGTTGTTCATATTTTAATTCCGACGCCTTCATAGATCAAATGGAAACACTATATGGAACTCCTTTTCCAGTGACCCCAGGTCCTGAAAATGGCTTCAAAAGCTCATAGGGAGTAACCCCAGCTCCGGTTCTATTCTTCAAGTCCAAATCAGCATTCCTAAGATCAACTATCAGTTCCAATTCCTTCATCTTTGCATTGAACTTATCAAATGCTGCCTTTATCACAGGATCATCGCCCCACGATGGTTCCATATTCTTGCCAATATACTCTTCGTCTGGAGAGTGACTCGACAACACATCCAACACCATCATTACCTGTGTCGCCTGATATTGCGAAGGGAAGGCATCTAGAAGCACATCCTCTGGCTTTTCCAAGAAACTTTTCCAAAGTGCAGGGTTGGGATCTTCTGTGGGCATGTTGGTTCTTGCTATGCTAGGCCTGTTTGGGAAGTAGCCTGCATATGCATATTGCCCGAAGTTCACGGCGGCATGGTGAGCAGATGCTACCCACGCAATGTTTGATACAATCTCTATTAGATCTTGGGGAGTGTTGAGAGTTGGCCACCCCGCCGCATCTTTTTTATCTGCATGCCCCACAGTTCTAATCTCAGTCCACCATGCTTGGAGCTCTGTGTCAGATGTTATCAGGTACGGGTCTGGATAGTAATGATTCACATATTCTGTGACCCATTGTTTAAGAGCGTCCCACAAAATCAAACCATCATTGGCGAAAGGATAGTCTTTGATGTTCAGTCTCAGACCATGTGAAGCAGTTGGATCCTCCTCTGCCAATCCCCTGCCAAGTGTTCATCAAAAGGGTTAAGGCTGCTTATATATCACTCAATTCAAAAGAAAAAATGAATGGTGAGAATTCAAGTCACCTGTGAATTAGGTCAGCTGGCAAGGCTTGTAAGTCAAATTGCCACTGAAGATCATAAGCTGTGGAACTCAACTCCATGGAATATTTTAGCGGTGAGAATGTGGTTTCTATTGTCCCACCTGCATTGATAAGATTGCTACGAGCAGCTGCGTTGATCTCTAAAGTGTACCTAAAATGAGGATGTAGAAGCCTATAGATAGGATGCATTGCACTCAATTGTCTGTTTGTGGCTATGCAATAAGGCTCCACGGCGCAGTGAGTTCTTACCCTACAAAACAAAACAAATGACCAAACTAAAAAAACAATCTTTTTTATTCCTCTAGCAATGATCTCCAAAGTCAAAGTTGAGTGGGATGGGATATGTTTACCAATGAGAAACGAGTTGGTGATAACCAGCGTCATGGGCTAGAACATGGGCTTTGGCAAATCTCCAAATCCAAAGGTGAGTGGCCTGCTCGCTGGGTCCATAAACTCTCTTCCACTGTGGTTTGTCGTCCATGGGTGGCCGAGTTAGCTCAATAGCTAGTGGTCTGAGAGTTTCATCTTCGTTTAGAAAGAATAGTGTCCTTGATCCATAAAGCGTTGTTCCTTTAAGGGCTCTCACTTTTTGAACATATGGCAACAACATGTCATGGTAATCCAATATATACAGTTTCTTCTTTTGAATTGCCTGCATATCCCATTTATTCATTTGAGAAGTTATATTATTTCATATGCCATATATGATTATGTTTTGGATAAGAATTAATATAAAGTACTGATACATACCTCTTGAACTGTCATTGAACCAATTTGTTGATTGAGCATTTCAGTGTTGAATGCAGATTCAGGAGGACCATAGATTTCAGGGTCAAGTTTGCTCACTAGTGGCCATTCCTACAAACATAACAGTTGAGTGAATGTTTAATTTGTTGGTTATAAAAGAAGATGAGTTATATGGCATGTCATACCGTAACCAATTGTATGCTGCATGGGTTAAGACCTGCAAGAGTTTGCCTTGCGAATTCTTCATCACTTAACCAAAAGAACTTGTCTCCTGTTTGTTTAGTGAATGAGAGTGAGATGAGAGAGTTAATGAGTAGATGAAAGGGAGAGAGAGAGAGAGCTGTGCATGTGCTCACGGTCCATGGGTTCAGGAGACTGAAAGCGTAAGAAAAATTCTCCAGTTTCAGATACGAGTTTGAATATCCAAGGTAAAAGATCCTTGAGAGAGTCGGTGGATTCAAGAGGGGGCAAATTGAAGCCATCCACGTCGTAGAGTGCATCAATGGACTTGAAGTTTTTGAATCCAGTATCTCGATCAAAATGGACTTGCAGTCTCGGCAAAATGGTGCGTAATACTGACAATATCGTATCTACATTGAACGCACCCTGCTTTATAGTAGAGAATGTCTCGTCACGAGGCACGTATATGGCACCTGTTGTCCTTTCTTCCGAGTCTGGGTCTGCGATGGTATCACCAAAAAGGAAAATCATAAAGCATCACACATTGTAGCCTAGCCTGCAATTGAAGAGATATATATAATATGGACCTTCTGTACAATGTGGACGCCCGGTTCTGCAACGCCTGGGATAAGGGCGTTCAGGGCCACCAAGAACTGGTCTTTTGAGTTCTTCTGATGTACAATCACCGAGGTCGTTGTACACATCATAATCATATATTCTATCGGTTGCTTTACGCTCGCCAGTGCCATTGCCTCGCAGATTCACGAGCTCGGCCGCTCTCATGGACTTGAGCCCAGCAGGCGTCTGGAACGGCAAGTATGACTGTGCAAGCAACAAATTCAAATTAGGATTGAATTGTTAGTTTGTATTTGGCATGGTAAAAAGTAAAAGGAAAGAGAGAAGTGATCACCTTGCTGGTGAAGAAGACTCTCTGTACTTTAGGAAGCACGGTGGGAGGTTGAACCCAGGAGTTGCAGGTGATGGTGGAGGGACCAGAGGCCAGCCCAGTGAGGTCCACTTCTTTGATGTACATCTCCTTTTCATTGGGGTTTTCAACAATCACGGCCCCTATCTCCCCAAAATCTGGTCCAACTTCGAAACTTGCCTCGTAAATTTCTTCCACCAAGTCCTCACTCGCCAATTTTGCCTCAACTCTGATCGTCGGCTTCTCTGACCCAGTTCCTTCAAATTTGTCCCTCAACCTTCTTATCAGTCATCAACACATACAAACGCCTCTTCTATTTATTACCCTTTATTTAAATTAACTCTAACTCTCCAATATTTATCCTTAAGTACTCCCAACTATTTCCTCATCGTTTCATTTTAAGATAATGGTCTTAGGATCATTTTCATTCTCTTCAATTGGGCACATCTTACGATCTCAACATCCAACTACTGCTTCGACTATTTTATATGACTTAGTCTATTTGAAAATATATTATTTTAGAACAAGGCTAATTAAACCCACTGATTATATTTTAAGTTTTACATTATTTTATAACACATCAAACCAGTTATGGGTATGCTTAAACAGTCCAATATATATCCATTCACCGAAGACAAAATGCCATTCAACGCCATTATTATTGAGGGACATCCTAAGAAAAAGATGTTTTGGGTTGATTCTACACCATTAAATCTTTAAAATAAAATTTAAAAACTATTTTCCTAAATGTGTGTCGTAGTTATTAGGGGCTACATTTTTTGGACCTTACACTGATATGAGTCACATTAAATCATTTTTCCATCTTCAGGTTTAAACAACCACACGTCCAAGGATAAATTATTGGAGGATGTTCTCAATTTACTATCTAAACCAAAAAGGTTTCCCTTTATTTTTTGTGTCTCAATCATAAAACCTCAAATTTAAGCGCACTTGATCATTTGAAGCAATCACAATTAGAGGTTCTCTTAGGGAGTAAAAGATCTAGGTGTTAGTTTATAAAGGATAATCTTCACTCTATAAAGAAGCTTAGATCAAGTAGGTGACGGTTCGATTTGTAAGTATTCTATAATTCATCAACATTTAATTTTCCATAAGTATGGAAGAAAACTAGAGAAGTAAAGATATTTTTATTTTTCTAAAAAAATAAAGAACTTTTTAAGTATGGTTTGTTAGGAGTGTTCAAAAAAATTTGATCATCTGAAAAAAAAAAAAAAAAACCAATCAATCCAACCCAACTTATATAATTTGTTGGGTTATAAATTTATTTGGGTTAGTTTAGGTTCAAATAAATGAAAATTCTACAGGTCAGGTTGGTTTAAGATACAACCCGAATTTATTATTAATTTTAAAACTATCTCTTTTACTCATGATATATGGTTATATTTATTTTACATATTATATTTCATTTAATAATTTTTTTTGAATTATTTATTCTACGACCACTTTTAAAATCTAACTTTTTAAAGTTTTTTTTTAGGGTAGTTTTTCACTATATAAATAACATCGAGATCTTGATTTAATTTTAGACAATATATAAATAAGGATTTTTTTGGAGCTACTTTTTCCACTCATGTCAAATTTACCACACTATTTTAAAAGGATATGTTTAGCAATAATTACCAAGTGATTCCCAATCAATCACTTGGAGGGTGATTCCCAAATGAATTTATCAAACTATTAATAGAATATTAGTTTTTAAAATGGTCATTGTTTTAATTTCAAATTTATCTTTAATTCTATTTTACCTCACTTATATCTTGAGAAATTTTGTTTCTCTCATTTTTAAAATTTGTGTCACTCTCATTTTATTTCTCTTTAATTTTGTTTATTCTCTCTAATATTTTTACTAAAATTTTTGTAATCTCTCTAAATTTTAAATTTCCATCTCGTTTCTAAGTTTATCTTTGTCTAAACTTTCTCTCACTCTAAAAATTCACTCTAAGAATTTTGTTGATCTCTAACTTTTCTCAAATCTCTATTTAAACTTCAAATATTAATCCTTCAAAATCACTTGAAAAGTGTGTAACGAAACGTTAAAATAGTTATATAAAAATTACTTTTACAAAATCAATTATAACTAAATTTTTTGGATTAAATCACTCTTTCTAAAATTATTCTCAAAATATGCTCTAAATATTTAAGATATTATCATTTACCTTTTTGCCATAAGTAATACTTTAGATAAGTAACACGAAGAACCCGCGCGGACCAAACCTAACCCATTGTCAAAAATCTCATGGTGTGAATTTAGTCCATGTTTTAAAATAAAAATTATATTAGTGAGACAGAGACAGAGACTCTAATCTCGTGATATAGTGTCGTGTTCGTTTCTCTTTTAATCCTCTGGTCACCCAAGCTCCGTAGGTCAATATCGCCAGTAACGTCGGAGAGATAAGGAGCAAAAACAAGTCACGTGTCCATAACGTTGTTAAAGTTTGATATGTACGTGTAGTGTAATTTTGGTTTATTTAGTAGATCTAGCAATAAGTTGTTCTTTTTCCTTAGCAAATTAATTAATGGAGAAGAGAAACTTACTGGGGTCGAGCTGGTTGCTGGCGAACTCCAGTTTGAGAAACTTTTCAACGTCTTTGGCATCCCTTAGAAGTGTCGACGAAGTGATCTCTCCAGTGATTTTCTTGACAACCACTTTGGTCTGAACGGTGGTGGTGGGCTCGGCGGCAGTGGCTAAGGCTGCCTTTATTTCACGGCAGACCAATCTCAGCCGTCCATTTCTACTGCTCTTACTACTCTTCTGCTTCTGCCATCTCGAATTCGAATAATGAGGCATAAAAGCAGCGCCGGCGTTGATGCTACTAAGCAATGGCCTCTGCAGATGGCGGAGGGACGCCGGAGCCGCCGCTCGAGGGGAACACCCAAAGCCTTGACCTTTCAACATTTTCTTTTCTAAGATTAATAATCTTGATTGGTATTTGGTCTGAGCTTTGGTTCTCCGTCGGAGGTATTTATATGCAACTTGGACTTGAAATTACGGTAAAGCCCCCTAGTAGTAGTAGCTGCTGCTTTTACGATTTTAACCTTCTACATAGTCCTCTCTCTTTTTTAATTCAACACATTTACGATAAATTTATTATTTTAATCTACAAATTAAAATAAGTCCTTTTCAAAAACAATACAAATAAAATGGGTCATTTTGGAACTTACCCTCAAAATCAAACTGATAAAGTACTCAAAATATATATATATATATATATTAAACTGGTAAAAGAGTTGTTAATCCTATCAACAGGATACCAACAAATGTCTAACATAATTTATAAATCTAAAAGAAAAGCCAAAAACAAAAACACAAAACTCATGTTTTTTTAAGTCTTGATTTAGTCTTGTTTTTTTTATTTAGTTCGTGAAAATTCAAACTTTTAAGTTCAATATTAGATGGGAATTCAAAATTTTCTAATATTTTGGATAATAATGATATTAAGCGTTTAAAAAGTATACTTTTGAACTTAAAAGATAAAATTATTTTACGAATATAATTTGTAAATATTTATACAAAGCATTTAAACCCCATGCTTTAAATTTAAAAAAAATGAAAGTAAAATTGACTACTGCGTGTTACCTTGCTTGCCCTCTGCTCCCCTGGGATATCGCGCTCATAATTTAGTTTCTTCAATTGGGTTATTTAAAATTACTTTTCATTATGATAATATAGTGAATACGTTTCCAATGCACATGGACGAAGATTTGTGCTCAACGAGAAAAAGCACATGGATTACCATTGTAATTATTTGTTCGTCTCAATCTATATATCATACATGGTAAAAAATACTTTTAGAATCTGAATTTAGTACAGCTCATTGAGATAGCAATAATTTTTCTTTCATAGCTGGACTCACACCCTCATTTCCATATTATAATTGTATTACGAAGTACTCAAATAAGTGTTTTTCAACCAAAACAAACACAGTTCAACGATAATTAACATATATTTTCAACCAAGAAATTGTGAATTCGATCCTCATCCCATATACCTAAGTTTTTTTATTCTTTTATAATAATATGTAGGATGGAAATTCAATAAATTGAAAGAGATTTAATTGATTAAAGAGTAAAGATAAATCTAGTAAAAGAAACATTGACAAATTATATTTTTTATACTTGAAATTTGGATTGGGTCATTTCTACCTAATCCTGCAATTTTTGTAGTCAACTAACTTTCTTTCCAGTCTAATTCATAAACTTATTTTTTCTATAGACCAACACGAATCATTTTGACATGTTTTATCACATGTTTTTTAGGAAAATCCGCTAAAAATTAAATCATCTTACTTAAGAATGTTCAAAAGCAAAAACATTTAATTTTGTAGTTCTATATTGAAAAAAATTTATACATTGTTGGTATAAATAATTATTCTCGATTTGTTTTTAAGTTTTCTTATCATACTTGCATGATCTCTGGATAAAGGTCTCTCTTATTCAAATTTGGCGTCGATTTATTTAGATACCCATCCCTATTGAGTGTACTAAAGTAGTCTTGAAGGTCCAAATAAAAACAAAGGCTAACAGCCAAGATAAATATATAATAGAGCCACTAAAATAAGGCAAGGATGCATGTTACTTTCAATTGTTTACGAGTTCATTTGCACGTGTAGCATGAGATTGTCGGTAATTTTTAAAAATATTAAACATTTTTTTAGATTTTTTTATTGCTCCAAAGTTTTGTCTTGAAACTACGTTGATAGACTCACATAACATATTGAAAATATTACTTAATATTTTATAAGCAGTTGGATAACGATTAGCTTGATATAGTTTTTTATTGATTAGCCTCAATGACTCCAACCAATATGGTTTTCAATATGTTAATATTTTCAACATGTTATATGTTACTTTCTAACTCTACTATAAATTTTGATGATAACAAAACTTTATTTATTAATGTCAACGTAGCTCAACTGATCAAAATATTATTATAATTTCAATAAAAGTAATCAAATTAATTTGTTGAACTAAAAATACTTTATTTATTTATAATTTTATTATTTCAAAGTATTCTCAATGTAAAACTAAAACTCGAAGACGATTCAATTGAGTTTAGATAATTACGTAAATTAGACAATTACGTAAATTAGACGTCAAACAAGAAAGTTATGGCTAAAAGATGAAAAGAATATTGAAAGAAAAAATTCTACTTGAAGATATGTCGCCAATATATATAATCAACATGGATAAAAAAAACCAATTAGTTGGTAGCAGACACTTAAATAATGTGGCAGTTAATGTGGCATCTTTAACGTTCAAGTACACTTGCATCTCAAATATTGTCATATCTTATTAGGGGTATACATTTGAATTGTCCAAATCGACCCGACCGACCGAACCGACATCGGTCAATTGGTTTTACCACCCCTTCGGTCTCCGGTTGGTTTTGAACAATTCTCAAATCGTCGGTCGATATGGATAATAAATTCCAAAACCGACCAATCAACCTACATTCCTATATTTTTCTAAAAAGATTTATATATATAAAAAAAATAAAATTAGATAGATCTCCTCTTTTCACGTGATTCAAGTGTTTTTTAGTACAACATGTCGGGGTAGGGGATCAACCTTACAACCTCTTGTTGGAGGTATATATCAATTACGGTTGAGCTATTCTCGCTTCGGATTCAAGTGATTCACGTGTTAATCAGGTTTATTTTTTAATATTTTATTATTTTTCTTTTTGCCAACGTGATTCATGCTTTTTTTTTTTCCTTTTTCATTCTCCCTTCTGTCTCATTTTCGTATTTTTCCAAAATCTTACCCCATACCCTTCTCTCTTTTCCCTCTTTCTCCCTGGTTTATTTTCTGATTTTTGTCTCCTCCTAATAGTCTCTCCCAGCTCCTCTAATTTCTCTCCCTCTCTCCCAACCCAGCCCGCCGCTTAGATCCACCACAACCCAGCCCCCCGTCGCTGCCTCTCAGATCCTAGCGCAAACCAACCCCCTCCGCCTGCTGCCGCTCAAATCCACCGCAGTCCAGCCCCCCAACACTCAGAAATTGAAAAAATATTTAAAATAAAAGATTTATAAAAAACAGAAATTGAAAAAAAATAAATGTCAGTTTGCCGACCAACCGAACAGTCAGTGGAAGCGAACGAAATAGTTGGTTGGCATCGGTCTGGACTTAAAAACCAACCCGACCGATCAATGTACACCACTGGCGCACGACATGTTCTAGCGACGTGGCAAGGTGGACAAGTCATTTGACGACTCGCGGTGGACTGATCTGACAAAGGAATGACGCGGTAGTCTGTGTGGTGGCTGACGAAAACTAATCAGACGAATGGCTACCGGACACCGTGGCATCATTCTGAATTTAGAAAAAAAGGAAAATTCAAAAATACCTACGGTGTCCCCATATACGCCACGACGCGGGCGTGCGTCATACGGCCTTCCGGATTCGCACGTGGACTGTTTTTTCCGCTCGGATGCTCCAACCTCTTATTTGTGTTTTTCCCTCCAATATTCATCTTATTTTCCAACCTATTTTTCTCCTCCTATGGATTAAATTTACTCATATTTTACTTTAACCTTAAACATATTTAAACCTCTCTCTCTTAAGCGTAATTTTTCAGCCACCTTATACAATCCACTATTGCATCCCATTGCTGAAAAATTCCTTTCAAGAAGCTCCAATCCACAGATCTCACTCCAGAACTCAAAGTTCTTCTTTATTTTTATGAGAGGTAAAATTAATTGAGATATTAAATTATTTTTTTTTGTGCTAATCTTATAAATCCACGCTTGTGAGAGTTAGTTTAATTTGTGGGATTTATTTTGTTTCATTTGAGTTTTGGGGAGTAGCTTAGAATTCAGCGAGTGATTTGGTCTTGAACTAGTTAAAAGGATGGTAATGGCTCACTTTTGAACCGGTAAAAATGATCAATATATGTTAAATTTTGAACCTACAAAAAAGTTGGTAGAGAGTTTACTCTTAAAAACCCAACTAAAGAATGATTGTCTATCCGTTCTGTTCTCATCTGCAAGAGAGCCAGTGCAGTAAAATACCTAAGGATAAGTCTTGGAGACTAGAGGTTTTAAACCACTATAAAAACTTTTGGTGTTCCCTCCTTTATATTTCTAATGCTCAATTAGTTTTTGTTAGTTAAATGGCATGGAGTTAGCTTTATAGTTTATCAATTAATTTTTGGGGCTTTCCAGGTGCATAATAGGTGATTTGTTGATTTGTGAATTTGAACTAGATGGCTTATTCAATGGGATACCTTTCAATTAATTTTAGATTAAGTTGCAACAAAAGAAAAAGAATCAATTTTGTGAACCCTCCTAGTGTTGTCAATAGTAGGTAACAAAGTTTGTGGAAAATATCAATCGTTTGACAACTAAAATAGATAAATACAAAAAATAAAGACATCTTTTAAAAAATAATAAGCTGTCAAGTATTTAATGGGGGAGATAACAAAGTTAACCCTCAAACCAAGTATTTTCTTTAAAATAATTTTTTTTTCTAAGAGCATACCTTAGATTTGAAATAGTTATACGCTGAGGATTAAATGAAAAATTTATTGAATGAAGTTGCCACCATGTAGATGCATTGTTATAAACGTTTGGATGTAAATTCGAAAATCTTTATAACTCTATTAATCACCTAATATAAATTCAAAGTAATTATCAAGTTATGATTTTTTTTTAACTATATAATATAAAGTTAATTAAAAAAATTAAAAAATAAATGAGACATGGACGGGGAATATATTCTGTCCCAAATTTCCTCCCCATATCCCCCACCCCATGGGGTGCTTAGACAAAGATAGGGGGACGTCTTTACATAGAAAAGTAGCACCCCTAACCAATGGGTAAGGAGACATTGTTAAAAGTAAAAGGTTAAAAGTTAGTTCAACTTTTTATCTCTCTTCTATTATTGTTATTATCAATATTTTTTAATGTATCTCTCCTCCCTTCTTCACCCACAATTTATTGTCTT